TGTAGGTGACCCTGCTTCGGCAGGGGGGTTGGACTAGATGACCCACAGAGGTCCCTTCCAACCCCTACTATTCTGTGATTCTGTGATTCTGTGACTTGTTCAAGAAATACCTTTTCAGTAAAGGAGGCACTCATGCATGAGGTGAGCGTGGGTCTGTTGAAGACGTGACGTGGAACGGGGAAGGCGTGGAGCGAGCAGAGAAGGGTACGTGTCACGGAAGATGGAGCGCTGTGTGAGGCCAGCTGTCTCAGAAAACGCATCTCCAAAATACTGATTTCCAGTGTTTGATTTTAAGATACTTCTTGCTGCTTTTTTGTCAGAGCTGTTGTGCCTTTACGGTGAACATGTAGCAGTGTTCTGTGGAGTTTCTAGTCTGTTGATTTCCAAATTGCAGCGTGCAGTTGAGAGTGATAATACTGACACATAATTACTTACCGAAGCTTTTAGTGTGTGGAGTCACCCTTTTTTACTGTCTGCATGTGCCGACAACACTGTAATATGGAAGGCTCAGAATGCTGTTGGTAGCTGGTGGAGTTAGCTTTGATGTTTCAGTTTTGCTACCCCACCATGCATTAAACGTTGCCACAAGCCTTGAGTGCAGAGTCTCGGTCTCATTTGCTTATAACTTCACCCAGGTGTGAGTGTGTTGGTCAGAAGCTTCTGTGCCTCAGTCTGCTGTGGCGTGTTTGTAAGTTCAGATACCTCTAGAACTTTGACAGTAGGGTTATCTTTGTCTGGCGTGGCTTTTGCCATCTCCATGAATGTTTGCTTATGTTTGATGAAGCTGTCAACACTTGAATACCTTTAGATCATGCATTCACAAAAAAAGCCTTGCTTCTGTCCTGCTGATTTCCTAGCCACCCTTCAACATGAGGCTGAGCAGGGCTTTCCCTGCAAGTACATCTTTTTGTGACTTAACTGAGAGCAGGGGGGCTTCCTTCTGCCTTTGCCTTACCTGCTCAGGCCTCGGAGTAAAGGACTTCCTCAGTATTCTGGGGAGAGGGAGAGCTGGAGTTCTGTCTCATCTCTCGGTCTGGGGCTCAGCTTCCTTTGAGCCCTTGCAACAAGAGCTGCTTTGAATTGAATTATCCTTGTAGTTGGCCGCTGACGTGTTGCTCAAGTTTATATTTAATTCCATCATTTGTAGTAAATCTCTTCTGGATGTTGAAGCATTGAGTACATGAAGATCGTTCTTTGAAGAGACTCCTCTTTTAGACATCCGTCTCTGGTGTTGATTTGATGAATTAATTAGATAGTAATGTGGTGTTAGCTTTTATTTGTGAGACTTCTGATGGCAGCTGTGTATCTTTGCAGTCCTTCTCCAGGCCTGGCTGCTTATGAAATGTATACGGATCCAAGGGATTTTTTCAGGCTTTGGTTCCCACTTCAACCTAAGGGCAGTTTTAAGTAGCTTAACTGATAGGGCATGACACTTCTTTCTGGCATTTACATAACTTTTGCATCAGCACTTGATTTCACTCAGGGTTTTTGGGGAAAGGCAGGTGGTCCTCCTGTCGTGGAGTACTTAACAGGATTTTCAATAGTAGAAATATGTTTCCAAAAAGTACAGGTTTTCATTGTTCTGTGTTGAACTGGTAAGCTTGCCGTCTATTTCTCTGGTTAACAGTTTTCATTTGTGACTTCACCAGTTTTGAGGGATTTATAGGAGTTGCAGAGCTCTATTCTAATTGCAAATACTTAAATGCGCTAGGTAACTTAGGTGTAACTGAGGTCTATGAGGAGACCTTATTGCAGCCTTTCAGTATATGAAGGAGTCTTATGAGAAAGATGGTGAAAGACGTTTTACTAGGGCCTGTAGTGACAGGACAAGAGGCAATGGTTTTGAACAAAAAGAGGGTAGGTTTAGAGTGGATTTAAGGAAGACATTTTTTATGATGAGGGTGGTGAGATGCTGGAAGAGATTGCCCAAGAGAGCTGTGGGTGCCCCATTACTGGGCGTGTGGTCCGGTTGGAAAGGGCGCTGAGCCACCTGGTCTAGTGGAAGATGTCCCTGCCCGTGACAGGGGGTTGGACGAGATGATCTTTGAAGTCCCTCCCAACCCAAATCATTCTGTGGTTCTACTGCCTGCAGTCAATGATGGGGAGATGACTTGTTTACTTTTCTTTAAGACCATATGTAAAAATCACATATGTCAAATTCATGAACTACCTAGCCCGGCACGCTGTTGCAAACTGTGGCGACAGGCGTTGCCACCTACGGGCTGCATGCAAGTCCAGCTGTTCCTGGTGTCCGTTCTCCGCGTGCTCTCTGGCATCTGCAGTGGTGCGGGGTGATGTGTGCTTCAGCGTTGTCTTTCCTTTGGTGTTGGTTTGTCAGGGAACTTGTGTAATCTCTCTTCAAATCTGTTGGCACAGTCTGTGACGCTAATCTCAAGGGGAAACAAACCCAGAAGTTTGCTACTTGCAGTTTAGAGAAGCGCTTTTTTTAATCTGTTTTAAACCAATCTCCTAGTTTCAGTGAGTGCCCTCTGTTGTGGGCTTTGGTGATTAGCAGTTAATCATTCACCTTATCCACTGCCTTCCTGAATCTTTGCACTTGGATTGTATACCCCCTCAGCCTTCTTTTCCAAGTTAGTGTTAGCCTTGTTAGCTATTCCTAAGGCTGCTTTATTCCCTGAGTTATACTAGTCTTCCTTTTCTCTGCTTTCTCATAACTCCACCAAGTCCTACATGAAATGTGGATGCCAGAACTGCATCCAGTACTGAATATATGAAGGTTTCATGGAGAACGAAAGCGATGCCCTCTGTGTTTCTTCTTGATCACCTTCCTAGTGGTGCCCGGCATTTTATTGCTATTTCTGGCGGCTGCTGCTCACATTCAGCTGATGTTTAAGGGAATCATGAGTGGTGATAAGAGATCTCTCTCGTGAGCTGTAGCTGCCAAACCTCAGTTGAGTATCATCACATAAGCATAGTTCAGCTTTCCCAAGATTCAGCATCTTGTATTTATCTACACAGAAGCTCATCTGCCACCTTTTGTCCACTGGGTTTTGTGAGGGCTTTCCACGGTGGCTCATCACTGGGGCGGCGCTTACCTGCCTGGTGGATGACTTGGACAAAGTTCTCCATGGGCACGCAGGTCATTCAGTTCAGTAAGAAAAAACAAAGCAACCTGAGAAATGCTCAGCTGCTCAATAAACATACTACCAAAGGAAATTATGTCTTTAAATTCTTCAGCTGTCATGGCTCAGGTGAGCTTTTCTGCACACAGCTGAGCTGTGTGTGATACATGGTGCTGTCAATATTCAAGTCTTGAGCAGCTGAATTTCTGATCGTTGTTTGTAGTATCTAAGACTGCTTTGGTTTATATTCAGGAGGTTATTAATGACAAGTGAAACTTTACGCTGACTGCTGTTTGCCACGTTAGTAGCCAGCCAGACGGTTTCATGAATGGCTTTGTGAGACTGTACAGTCCCTATTAGAAGTTACTGCCCAGACTACATGCCAGAAGATATTCAGGTTTTATTTGAGGTTCTTCCATTGCTGAACCCAGCCAGCCAACTGTAAGATAGAAGACAGCTTTCTTTTATAGACAAGGTGAAACTCTTTTGATCTTTAGATCTTCTGAAACCTGAAATTGTCAGTAACTCCAGCCCATCTCAAACTCCTTCATAGCTTTACATTTGCAATTGGTATGTCTCTTTCAAATCAGTTAGCATTTAAATCATGTTTTGTTGGGTAGCATTTTGTGTTCTGAAACTTACTGGTGCATTTTTTTTCTGAATAGACAAGCTAGCATTGATTATATTTAAAACAGTTATTTAGCAGGGCCTGAGTGGAATGGCACTGAAAGAGCTTTTCTTCAGGATGGATCTGTACTGGTGGAGGAGGGGGTGGTGGTAATTCAAACTGTGGCATTAACTTGCTCCCTCTCCCCCTTTAGTACTTCACTTTTCACACTTGCCACTGTTGCCTACAAAGATTTTGCTGGGTTTGGGGAAGAGTCAATAGTATCAACAGAACTAGAAGAGGAGACTGTAAGCAAGGTGGATTTCAAACTGCGTACGGTGGTGTACTTTTGGCTGTTAAAAGTAATTCCTAAAATTATCCTAATAGCAACTGTTTTTTTCCTGAAGTTAATGCCTTTCTGATACGAACGCTGAGAGTGTTATGGGGTGCTTGTAAGTTGTGGCGTGGATTTGGGTTGTTTACAGTTGTGGTATGAGCTTCATTTTGTTTTTGCAGGTTTGGACTAAGCAACAAATTTGAAGCAGAATTTCCTTCATCTTTAACTGGAAAGGTGAGTATCTGAGCATAGGAATTTAGAATTAGAGTTAAGATTTTGTTACAGAAACAGGAGTTGCAGATGTAGTCTGTTGTAAGAGTGAAAAATCGCACTGCTGTGGTACTAGTTCTTTTTGTTTTGTTTTGTTCACTTGTAGGTTGCACCCGAAGAATTTAAAGCCAGCATCAGTAGAGTTAACAGTTGTCTTAAGAAGAACCTTCCAGTTAATGTACGATGGCTACTTTGTGGATGCCTTTGCTGCTGCTGCACTTTAGGTTGTAGTATGTGGCCAGTTATCTGCCTCAGTAAAAGAGTAAGTGGAACTATTCTTACAATTTTTGACAGTTATGATTCTACTGGGTTTGTTCTCGTTTTGTTTTTACCTCCCCCACCTTTAAAAAGTGTGTGCTAGAACTGACTTCAATCAGTTTGATCTCATACGTTCTGTATCAGTTGTCTGTCACAGTAGTTAAAGTTACAACAGACACCAGTCAGAATTTTGAGCTTAGAAGTCGATGAGTGGTAGTACAGCTGAATGTCTCTGCTAGAACCACATATGGTACAGCATTTATGGTTATTGAAGTAGCTTTCAACATAGTATTTTAATACCTGCATCTTCTCTGTGATACGCTGCTTGGGATTATCAGAGTTTGACTGGGATTAAGTGGCAGTTCGTTTCGAGGAGCTTCTGATTACACTGTGGCCCAAGTAGCCATACATATTTGTTTAAAAAGGGAATTTTTTGAAAGACAATAACTGATTTTTCTTTTTGGATTTTCCTTCCAGGTTGTAGATAAGTAAATTTTGTTTTGGTTTTTTTTTTCACTTTTAGAAAGTTGTGTTTTGTCTGTGTAGGCTTGGCACTTAGTGTATTGTTCACAACAGAAGCTCATTGCACGTGCCCGTTTTTTACTTCCCTTCCCTCGGTGCAGTTAATTAGGCTACCCTGTCATCTCTTCTTTTTTTGTGTGCATAAAAATTGTCTTTGGCTAGCCTTATTTCACTACTTTACAAGAAGTCTCTGTGCCTCCCCATCCTTTCCTCACTATTAGTACTGCTCATCTTTCCATTTGATGGCAAGGCTTGTGTAGATTCTCGCTTGTGTAATATCTCTTAATGCTACAAATTGTGTACAATTCAGTACACTGAAGATCATCATGATTTTCTTCATTAAAGTCCTCATTTTCCAGGCTCAGTAAATCAAGGCATTCTAAAAAAAAGATTTAGAGGGTGAATGCTGATCGTAACAAAAGCTATATGTATTTTTGTATCATCTAACTTTCTGTGTTAAGATCTTAATGCTTAATAAGTCCCTTTGAGAGATTACTTAAGGCTAGTTTAAATTGTGTACAAAATAGGGTAGAAAAGTCTCCTGGTAACATTGGAGTCTGTGGAGAGAGAAAAAAAAATGTTGGTGTCGGTGTGAGTTACAGCAAACCGTAGGTTTTCTGTCTTTAAGCTGTCACAAGCTAGTAAGGCTGCTGTAGGTTGATATTATATCCATATCCTGAAAGTCTATTAAGAGAAATTAGAATTAGCTGTTTTCTTCAGCAGTTAGGCTGGTGACTTAACTAGCTTGCGGAGAAGACTGCCTTTACTATTCTAGGCCTGGCTGTGTTCATTACAAACATAAGGAAAGCTTGCGTTGCTGCTCTTCATGTTTGACTTCTACAGGAGAGAGCTTCTGGGGTTCTTAGTTTGACCCGTTTTCCTCACATAATGTGCTGTTGTAGCAGGATGTAACGTGGTAGGGGCTGATGCCACAAGCCCTCATCTTCTGAGCTGGGGCCTCTTAATCTATTACCAGAAGTCACAAATAATCAACTTTTTATACCTTATTAAACAAAGTCAGAAAAAAGGCAAAAGCTTGTAGCATCTGGAGCTGGAAAACAGAGCTCGAAGCTGAGGACCGAGGTTCTGTGTGGGAACCCAATGAAGCAACAGTTAGAGGAGTGCTTCCGTTGAAGTTTGCATGGGGTAGAAGTTCAGGTAAGCTCCCTTTCAAAGGGTAAATCTGAAAAAAAACCAAACATGGATAGTCTGTTCAGAGGGGGCTGGATGGAGGTTAGCGGTGTAACTGCTGCTGTAATATACAGACTGCATAAAGACAGAAGAGTCTCAGGAAGAGAACGAACAGCAGGAGCAAGGACAGAAACTTGGGGTTGAAGTTCCAGAAGTCATCCTAGAGGTATGGCCCAGACTGTCAGTAAATGTTGCATTTTTCCCCATTGAAGCTCGTACCAGGAGACATTTAAGGGCCTTTGCACTTCAGGTTGGGTGTCCCAGACTGAAGCTTCGATGTCGAGCAGGAGTGAAGTTGAGGTTAGGACTCAGCTGCCGAAACACAGTATCTTGTGCCACTGTGGAAGGCACGGTGACAGTAGATGTTGATGGTGCTGGATACTCGTGTTCAGGCAGTTTGATCATTCCTGCAGAGTGAAAATCGTTTAAGTCAATCTGGAGACTTTGGATCTCGTGACAAATCATTTGTCCGTGTCAGCAGCTCAGCAAATGGGTGTGTGCTTAGGCAGTTGTCTGTCAGACAGAGAACCCAGGGCTTGGTGTTGGTTGGGCATCTGGAAAGTGTAATATAGAGAAGAATTAATTAAGTAGTGTTCTTAAACTGAAAAGGACAAGAATGCTTTCCCAAACTATAACTCTTAATCCTGGTCCTGACTGGGAAAGACCTCCTTTCTGGTAGAGGAGGTAAGGAGGGAAGCTGTGGAATATTTTCAAGGACATATTTTCAAATTCTAGTAGAGGAAACAAGCAGCATAATTTGCAGTGATTCTGGTCAGGGCTATTATTCGCAGAAAAGCAGAGAAAAGCTACTGCCACTTGAGTTGCTTGAACAGGTATGGGTGAATTAAACTTTTATTTCTTGGTAGACTGAGATCAGTAAAGTACCAAGTGATTTAAATCCTTTAAATCCCTCTTACCTGGAATTACAGATTTTGTACCTTTTAAGTTCTCGATACTGAATTGTATCCATAAACTTGCAGGATTTTTCTTTTATGCAGGGCTTGCCATCCGTTTATGTCAAAGTGCTATCACAAGTGCAGGAAACTAGTTGTATTTTTTTTCCTAGAAGTGGGGAAAGTGAGAGACAGTGCATGATGTGGGTTACCTGGAGCTGCTCAGCAAATTGGCAGCAGTTATAAATACAGCCTGCTTCATCCGGGTTCCAGTCTGTAATTTGGTCAGTAGGTTCCAGTAGAACTGTGACAAGAAGCAACTTCATACTCTGCCACTAAAAAAAAACTTAGATCAATAGACTGTTTTGGGTTGCTGCTAGTGCCACAGTTTTGCTGATGCATAGCAGACTGACGTGTTCAGTGTGAAGTAATCACTTACTTTTAAACTCTTCTACTGCTCATCGCTGACTATACTGTGTCTTGGAAGAGTGCTGTGTTGATCAAATGATCCTCCATGCTTTGACTTCTTCAGAGCTCCTTTCGCTGGCTGGGCTCCCGCCGTAGGTACAGTCACAGCAGCCAGGATTCACTTGTCCAGTGTGACATGTGCCTGTTTCTTCCCTTCAGCTTTGAGATACAATGGATTCTTTCCCATAGGCACTCGTAAAACAATTATAACAAATGAACAATGAATAAAAAGTTACTTATTTTCCAGTACCTGCACTTCTCTAAGAAGTGTTGCCCGGAGAGTTTAGCTAATTCATCCCTGTCCGAAGTGATTCCTAGTGAAAGGACTGGTACTTGGAACTGGCCTGTGTTACAGCCTTTGCTGCTGTGATTGCAAAAGGCTCCCAAGACCGTATAATTGGAGAGTTTGATTTCTGGAAGCAGGGCGGGAGTGTTCCTACGTAGAACTGAATTTGATGTAGAACATGTTTTAATCACACAATAAAAATATACCATCCTTCATCTTTGCCCTTTTCTCCTGATGTAGAATATTAGCAAATTTGTTTTGACGAGTTGCATATACATTGAGCTAACAAGTGGGAATGTTTCTCAAGTTACGGATTTCATTAAATTAAATAACAGTTTCAACTATACGATGGCTTACTTTTAATACAGAAGAGTAATTTTTCTCAGAATGACCGGTTAAGAAGTACCTGTTTTAATGAGGCTGAAGCAAGCTACCATGCTGTTAAATTGCTGGTATACTGTGTAGCTCTCTTTCAGAGAAACGTTTTTTAAGGTTCATGTAGACGGAATGAAAGCTGCAGCTTCAGAGTTTGTGAAGTTACAATCATTCTCTTTGTCTTTCTCTGTATTCTGTATTTTTCTGCCTTTCATTGACTTTTTAAAAATTCTAATGTGGGAATGTTATCACAAATGTAAATATGATTTTTGAAATTACAATTATTGAGAGTTTGTTTATAGTGGGAATATATACTTATTTGTGTGTAGTAAAAAATAAGTTTTATGAATTTGTCTCCTTAAATCGGCAGGTGCTTCAAACTAGGAATTTATTAAGTCACAGACATTAGTAAGCTTAATTGTTAATTATATCACTTTAATGCACTTCCGTGCAATGAAAGCTTTTCCTTCACTGTATTTTTTTTCAGTGCTGGTTTTGGAAGTCTTTGTACAGTATTGTTTCCTTTCTTCTTTTGCATTGAGGTATTAGAGAAAAAGCCTGCTGCTCCTCACCAGTAGAATAAATGTTTAATTTGATTTTATATTTTATTGCCTCTCTCCTTTTATGTGGTCTTGATTTGATTTTAATGACCAGAAGCTACAAGAAGATTACAGGAAATAGTCTCTTGTTTGCAGATCTAGATTGTCAATGATCTTGAGCAGTTTTACTCATAGATTGTACCATCCTTTCTGGGACAAGTTCCAGATTGCACAAATGAACATTAAGTCTTTAAGTTATTGTTCGTTAAATAAAAAGAATGACATAGCAAATTATAATTCAAAAAGCACTACAGGCTGAGGTGCCCATTTGAAACCGCTTTTTCAAATGAATTGACACTCATTTTCAGTATTGACTAAATGCTGCCGTTCCCAATGTGTAAATAGGATTAATAATTTCGACAGAAACAGTAACAATGAAAGCTGTGATAAATTGCAGTACTGCTAGATTTCTTAAAAGCTGGTATTGTGCGTGTAAATTGCATGTTTCAGAAGGTTCGTGGGCAATCTCTTAAAATGAATAAATGAGATATTTAAGAGCGATCTGTACTAATACTTTCAAGAGCTACTTGTTTGTTTGTGAATTCACACAAAGCTGATGAGTGCTGCTTAAGCCTCATCATTAGTTGTCACTTAGGTAGCAGTTTACATCTTCGGAGTGCTGTATAAACATGAGCTAATTACAACTTCCAGAGAACTGATTAAATTAAGT